ATCTGGCATCGGTCATTATTTGACCGGTCAGTCAAACCGCTCTGACCGGTCAACAACGGTCACGGTCAATGACCGGTTACAACGGTTATGACCGTGACCGTACCCATCCCTAATTACGACTAGGGATGGCAATTATACGATACCGTATAATAAAAATGGTATATTTTGTATAATATAATTAATAAAATTGTTCTTTTAGGCATCTCTGGCCTGATAGCCAATCAAAATGCAAATATATCACATGACGCACGTTTTCACGTAGCACAACTGTTACACAAAGCACAATTCTCCCGGATCAGCAAAACAACAACAAAAAAAAAAAAAAAACGGCATTCTAAACCTATGTTGGGGCACTAAGTAAAAATGTCGAGAAGACAATTTTACTTATAAAACTTCCCTTTGTCATAACCCTAACCCAAACTTTAACCCAAACCTTAACTTGATTAGAATTATTTACTTTTGACCAGAGATGCATAAGCTAAGCATCTCTGGCTAGAGATGCCTATATTTCCTTAATAAAATACTGTATAATTGGTATAATATTTTGGTGTAACGAAGTTAATCAATAGAAACTAGATGAAATTTTTCATAGGAATGAGCGAACACATGACAAATCTTTATGAACTTTCTAGATACAGTGTTATGTAATAGTTATTACTGTATTATACGATAATTAGACGGTAAAATAACCTAGTATTTATACCAAAATTTATTATACCATAATTTCCATCCCATGACACGACATAATACGGCAAATAATACGAACGTGTCGTAGTCGTATTAATTTGCAAACTTATTTCTATATATGAAGCACCTAGATCAATCGAAGATCGTACCCAAATTAATTGTAATTCGTGCTCATTTCCTTCTTGGTTAATAATGAAGTCATGCTTTGAGAAAGTTGGGTTCAAAGTGAAACTATAGTTTCAAAGAAAATTGAGATTTCAAAATTGGTAACTACGGTGAATTTTTGCACTTAATAAAGTCAGTCTTCGATACCTTTACTGATTAAAATATAAATCGATTTCTTTATCTTTTATTAAATTAAAATTCGAATTATAAACTTTAATTTGGCATTATTTTCAAATCACCTTTGAATATCGCTATCATTAGGCCACTTGAAGTTAAACTTTCGTTTAACGTTATCCCCCCTCCATCCCTGAGCTCCCCCCTAAAATTAAACAAATGGAGGTGACAAATTAGTCAGTGTAATGGTCGGCACAGCGATCGGAATTTTTCGATTATATTCGGGATTTTTCGGTATACTATATGTTTATTTTTTATGTTTGTTTTAATTTTTCCCGTGAATACGAAAAAAAATAACGTTAAACGAAACTTTAACTGCAAGCGGCCTTACATTCACATTACTCACCCCCTTATTAATTAATTACATCACTTGCATCATACTTAAATCTATCTAATAAATTAAATTAGTTACATAACCGCGTCCGATACATTATTGATTTCCCAACCCAGTTAAAATTAATTATTTATTACATATAAAGCTACTTTAATGATCGATTGATCTATAACACACGTTTAGTATTATTTGTGAAGGCTCTACCGATCAATAATAACAATACTCTGGCTTATTTGAATGTCCGGGATAATTAGCTTGATTTAGGAGAAAAAACACTAGCAAAGATTTTTGATTCATTATTTCTAAATCAGCCAATAATACGAAGCTTTTCTAGAAATTTGATTTACAGATCTATACAATTATAATTAATAACTAATACTGCACGTTACCCGTATTTAATCTGAATTATCAAATCTATTTGAATTAGTCGGATTAAGTATCAAAACTCTACCCCAACATCATTATCAAAATCCCGCTTCCATATTATCAAAATCGTGGCCCAATCTAGTGTTTAAGTAAGTTAAGGCAGCATTAATTTACAAGCATTAGAATTAATGCAGAAGAATCAATGTTGCAGTATTGTATTGTCAAGATAATTTACTTTTTGAATTCTGAATGCCAAGCTTCCAACAATAAAATGATGATTTTCGGAATCCTGTCTCTAAATCTGCTTTAGATTATCCAAAAAAATAACACGAAAGTACTCTTCTCAGTCTTTTTCACCAGATTAGATTAGATTATAATAAAAATGAATTCAAAATTTCGCATCTACACGTAGTATCATTTTTATTAAGGCTGTTAATTCCTTAAATTGATATTTATTAGAATTTAATAAAAAACTTGTATTGATAAATTTATTTTGCAAAAAAAGTGAATAAATAATTTCTACGAGTCTATAATGTTAAACATCCACCTCAAATAAAGTTAAATTTATTCTGCAAATCATGTGAGCAAAGTTTTAAAATAATATTGCACGAAGTCACTAGTAATTTGTCAACGCACTGCACAGCATATAATTAGCTACTTTATTATTCATTAAAAACTCACCATCATTAATAATTGACTACTAATTATTAGTTATTAATAATTTAGAAGGTTCCATCACCAATAAATACTTCTGCCAAAAATATATAGTTAGATAAAATTCATAATTAGAAATTATTAAATCATAATTATATCAAGCTTATGCTTACGCACCAATAATTTAACACTGCATTTACTAAAATATATATTATTAGACTCCATCAATAGATATTGTGATATTATACCAAAAAGGCAGAACATAATAAATGTTTATGTAATTATTTAATAAAACGTGTAAATGCGTCTGTGGTGGCTATAAAGGGCTTAGAATTTTGATAACAAGATAATGCAAACTTTTTAATAAGCAAGCTAATCTTCAACTTATAAAAGATTTTTAAAATGTATGCTTGATATTAGAAAATTCATTATTGATGTTTTTCAGCTTGGTTCATTCTTTCAGGCTGGTAATATTGCACAAAAATTTAAGAATTTGTCAAGTAGATTTGATGCATATATAGCATCTTTAAATTCTGCTATAAGTAAAGTTATTTATAAGAGTGTTCAAAATATATCAAAATTTGAAAATGTTGATAAAGCTATAGAGTTTGAACTTAAATCTATTAAAGAAGATTTGGCAGAAATTAAAAAGGTATGGTACATGTGATGTAATTATAAATTATTTACCTCATACTTATGTATAACATCTATTACATACATCTACTTTAGTTCATGTTTGATATGTCCAATAGTAAATTAGTCTAGACAAAAATCCCTTTACAGATATCAAAAGAATTAAATAATTAAATATCCATTATCAATAGGAACAACACAAAGGTACTGTAACCTCAATTGATCTTACTCCTTTCTTGAATTCAGATAATTACAAACCTAAATATGATATTGAACCCATAGCAGTAGTAAAACCATTCATTGTTGATAGAATAATATATTCCTTTTAGAATATGCATTTAAAGAAATTTCTCAGATCAATGATAAACAAACTGAAAAGGAAATTAGTGAACAAGTTGTTATTCTGAACGAATTAAGAATTTCTGATTACATTAGAAGTTTTATAGAATAGCAAAGTCTAGTGATGGTTTAAAATTTTATCTGGTGACAGAATGATGCAGAATAGTACTTTACAGGAATAATACAAGTCACATACATTGGATTGGAATGAAAAGTTGAAAAGGTTGAATTTACAATTGATAGTTGTCATGGAATTTCTTTTTTAAATGCCGTAGAATTATACAAAATTCTATTCAATATTGATAATTTATTGCTATATTAAATAATATGGCTAATGTTAATATTGTTATAGACTTTACACTATGACATTATAGGTGCAAATATACTAATAAATGGAAATCACAAGGCCAAAATTGCTAATTTTGGTTTAAGTCATAAGTTCAGAGAGATTACTAGAAATATTCAAGTTGATCTTGAGAATGTAAGATATATAGCTTCCGAGAAATTAAAACATGGTGATAAATGACGATATACTGTTAAATGTGAAATTTATAGATACATATGATGCAACTCTTAAAATACGTGTATTGGTAATTTCGTGAATTTCCTGTGATATAGTTATTTGCATCTGTTTACACCTTTTTGAAGACAGTTATATTATTTAGTTTGGAGCTTTTCTATGGGAAACTGCTGAAGAAGTGATAACTTATACGGGGTAGGAATAAATTTGCAAACTATTCGAGGCCGTGTTGTAAAAGAGAAATATTGCGAACTATTTTATTCAGATGCCCAAAGTTTGGCAGGATATTACATATAAAGGTATCACTTATTATTTTAAAAATTAATTTTTAAACTATAAATATTTAAGTACACTAATATATTTATTTATTTAAAGCTTTAAGTCATAATCCAGATTTTCGACCAACAATTTCTAAAATATTTACAGTCCTTTTTGATTATCACCATAAAAGGTCTCAACCATCTATCAGTGAATTAGAAGATTTTGTAATTGATGATAGTTTCATGACAGTGGAACAAGCAGTCGAAGAGCACCGAAAACCTGAAGGTAATAAAGTAAATGCATGAGAATGCTTCAACAAATTCGCTGAACAAGGTGACATAACTGCAAAATACTGGGTTGGTTATTATCTATATCACTCTGTCCTTCCTGAGCATAAGGATAATTGACAAGAAAATCTTCAGCGCGCGGCAAAATTGTTCAAAGAAACCGCTGATTGTGGTAAAGTTGAGGCTCAACTCCGATACGGTTTCTGTTTATGGCAAGGCGATGGTGTTCCTGTTGATTGGGATGAATCTATGAAATATCTAGTAAAGCTGCTAATAATGGAAATCCTACGATTATGTATAATGTTGGAAGTGCTTATTGGGTTGGAAAAGGTGTAGTTAAAGATCAGGAAATCGGTCCCAGATACTTAACAATGGCAGCTAAGAAAGATCAACACAATGCTATTGCTATGTGCAAGAAACTCAGAATTACTTATTAAAATATGGTATTTCATTAAAAATTTTATAATGGCAAAGAACAGTAAATAATTATGACTTTTAATGCCATAACGATACACGAAATTGTATTATCGAGATCAGTATATTTTAGAAATTTGATTTTCATTATTATAAACTAATAAATTCCCGCCGATTTTTACTATGAAATCTATACCTTTCAGCTGCGTAATGCCCCTTAATATTTCAAATTTTATAAAAATTATCTCTAAATAATTAAATTTGCGACTTAAATTAAGGTCAAACTCCGTAAATCCGCCACAATGACTGTTAAATAGTTCACATTAGTTTTTGCACATCAAAAACTTTAGATTTCTAAATCAATCAGATAGAAAATTGGTGTAAATTTAGTAACTAAAATGGTTTCTTTATTATCATGAAGGGCACGACAAGAATTGCGACATATGACATTTATTATAGCCTACGGCGGTCATTAACAGTTAATATCTTAAACATTTATTACAACCCACTAGGGTGAGGGACACAAAAATGCTTGCAATTCTATCTTAATTTTAAATTCACACACTTTAATGGTGTTTTCAAGATAAGACTTTGCTATATCGTACGCTTTTATGTAAGATGATTGCAAAATTCTTTGAAACGCTTTCAAACAATTATCTTGTAAGTTTTGATGATGAGGAATTTAATGTGATTATTAATGTTGAAGATTCCTTAAACTCAAAAAAATACAAAGCGAATTCAGTTATTTTAAAATATAGATCTTTATATTTTCGCGATAAATTAGCGACCGCTGATACTGATAATAATAATGTTAAGATAATTAACTTAAAGCATGTCTCTATCCAACAATTTGAAATTATTATCAAGTAAGTTAGTTTATATTACGATATATAGTCTATGCTACGTTGCGAAAAGCAATCTAAAATGTTTCAAATTTTATGCAAAGATATACTTGAATAACATGACATATCATTTATTTTTAAGCTTATGCTTGTTGCTCACGATCTTCTTCTTGAAGAATTGGCCGAATACCTTGAAACTCACTTAGTTGAAGAAACTCACTGGCTTCATTTACATTCTAATCGCATTTATTATATATGTTTTCAGAGTAATAAGCTTAAAAAATTACAAGCGTGGTGTATTAATACTGCTGTAAAGTATCCGATAAGATTCTTGAATCTAAAGACTTTATCACTCTTCAAGAAAATGCGTTAGTTCAGCTTATCAGTCGAGATGATTTACAAATGAAAGAAATAAACATTTGGAATCACGTTATTGAATGAGGAATTGCACAAAATCCTGGGTTACCTTCCAATCCTAAAATTTGGTCTCATGAGAATTTTTTAGCTTTAAAGATCACTTTAAAAAATTTCTTACCTCTTATACGCTATTTATAAATGTCAGCCGATGAGATTATTGACAGTATACGACCATATCAACAAATTCTGGAAAAAGTTCTTTGGTATGATATATCAATAAAGTTTATGTCACCAAATCGACCAATAAAATCGTTAATTCTTCCACCAGTCTGGTTTTAGCGTAATCATTACCGGGTTTACTTATTTCTCACTGTGATACAAATCACATGAAAATTTTAAATATTCTATTTGCTGTAAATTTGCTTTAACTTTAAAGTTAGGAAGAATAAATTCTATACTAAAATTTTGCAAGGAACTTTTTTTGTTAGAATACAAGAAGCGGTTTTTTAGACAAAATTTTGAGTTATTGGCGGTTTTTTGAAAAATACCAACTAATTTCATGTTACACCTGATCTTACGATCTACATACAAAATTTTCCTTTTTTGGTTTGTATCACGGTGGGAAATAAGGGCACGCATCATTACCACCTAGAGTGACTCTTCAAATAACTTTAACACAAACAACTGAACATTTTTCAGACATTATTAATAAAACTCAAGCAGCTGTAATTGTTTCATGGGTTGATGAAAAACAAACTGGCTTTTATTCTGCTTACTTCTTCGTGGAACAAGAGATGGTTTTACACCTGATTCGTTTTGGAATTTATGCAATAGACAAAATAATATTGTTGTAGTCAGAAATCCTTGGTGGATATAATCCTATTGGTTGCAAGACCAACTAAAACAAAAAGTTTTATAGCATGTGACAAGAGCTTTATTTTTTCATTAAAGATTGATATTCAAAGTTCTATTATCAATCGTGTAATTAACCCGCAAACTGCAATTTTATTCAAGCTCTTGGTGGTCCGTCTTTCGATAGGGATCTTAGAATGCTTGGTGCGTATGTAAAAAAAAAGTCTTATCAAATACCACTAAGACAAGTACAACGAAAATCAAAAGCATTATCATTTTCAGTGGAGGAACATGAAGTATTCCAAATCAAAAAAAAAAATAGTAGGGGTTTTCAGAATTAATGATTTTGCATCTAGTATAGCATAAAATAAGTGATGTATTTATTTCGAAACAATATATAAATTCTATTTTATGGCAGTCAACAACTGAAAGTTTTCGAATTTATGTGATATAGAACTTTCATTTATTTTTCTGACGTTGAAACAAGATTTTTTGATCATTAAAATAATACACCTTAAAGCCTATCTTCACTTAATACACCACGAACTTTTGTTGGTGGCAAGTAGCAGATAAAATTACGTACATGATAATTAGCTAAGTCATTATAAGATTCTTTTATTCAGTTGGTTGGTACATAATTTACATATTACCTGCGATGCAAATTATCAACTAAAAAATCATAAAACGGCAATAAGTAACTAAAATTGACAATAATTATAATCTAAGCTGACTAGAGAACTGATAGAATGACAAGCGGTCATTTTTCCAGCAAGCTATATCTAGTAAACACTACCCATGAATCAGATCATAAGACGTGCTAGCCCCAACCTAAATCAGGCCAACTTAGACGTCAATGATAATTAAAAAGATTTGAATGTATATAAATTTGATTAATTTATCAAAGATTTAATACATATTCTTAGTTATAAACAAGTATCGGGAGCAGGTATTCATAAAAAGAAATTTGTTTAATAAGCTAGTAAAAGAACAAAAAAATGTTTATTGACCACATGCACAAATTCAAATCGTAACCTCATTGTGAAATCTTATCGTGTAACATGAAATTTTAAGAAATCAAAGTAATTTATTTTGTCTATCATTACCTTTAAAAAACTTTTTTTTTTTTTTTTGCATAGGAGGTTAGTCTGATGTACATACGGACAAAAGCCTTAATTTATATCACTTGTTCATTTAACAAACTGCATTACTTCTTTTTTAAATCACGATTAAAATGATTTTCTTACCTAACGAATGCCTTTTTGAAATATTTAACAATCTTAGAAATTATTATAGACACTTGTTTTCATGCCTTCTTGTAAACCGTCGATGGTGTAGAATTATTGTTCCAATATTATGGAGTGAACCAAATTTCAAAGATGAAAGAATTATAAGAATATGTCTTTTATCATTGAATGAAAAAGAAAAGGCACCATTAATTCAATTAAATTTATTACTTCCAAATGGACAAAAACTATTATTTGAATACACATCTTATATTACATCGATCGACTACGATAATCTCGAAAGTGGAATTTTTGGTTGGTTTTTACGCCATGAGGGATACAATATTGATAATGAT